GCGTGCGCGCGTGCGCGCACACACACACACACACACACACACACACACACACACACACACACACACACACACTGTTTCCAGGGGAGTGGCACTGCGAGCTGAGTGTCCGCGTCATCTGGTGCCCACGCCTGACACCGTTACCCGACTGTTTGTACAGGGAGCGCATCCACGTGGGCGTGTGTTTCCAGAGCCGGAGACTAAGGCCCTTGCTCCCAAGCCTCATGCCCGAGTGTGAGCCCTGGAGCCCACGTGGTGGAGGGGCATAACCGACCTGTGCGAGTTGTGTGCACATACTTACACATAAGAACACGTTTCAGAGAGCGTCTGAATACAGTGCTAAGTACATCATGCCACCTTGAGTTGTTCTTCATGATACTCATTTCCTTGTGAGGCCCAGGCCACACGCCACCTCCGTGCCTTGATGGATGGTGAGTCTTCGTCCCATCCTCTTGCTCCCAGTGGAGCCTTTGGAAGGAGCGTGCCGAGAACCGCTGCACGGGCACATCTGGACACTCGAAACAGGCTGCGCCCCAGCACTGGTGCTCGCTCGAGGCTGGGAGTGAAAGGCAGCCTCCTCACTGGTGTGAGGCTAGCGCGTGACCACTCGGCGACTGTGGACCGTGCCTGCCGCAAGCCCGCACTGAAGGCAAGGTCCCCTCTGACACAGTTTTCTTTGTGAGAAGCCGCGTCAGAGTACCCGCTGCACTCCATGTGTCCATGTCTGTCAGCGCTGATGATTACTGGAAAGTGTATCAGAGCCGGAAGGGGCCGAGGCAGGTGGGTCGCTGGGTGCCAGCCATCCACACCTGCACCTGTCCCCAACAGAAGACAATGACACAGGCAGTTTGCAGAGGAGGCTGAGAGTTGACTCTTGTGTGTCCATGTTTAGAGTGGTAGGGTTTCTGGGTTGTTGTTCAGGTTCTTTTCTTTCAGACGAGATGCTTTCCTATGGAGAAACCAGACAGGCGGGCGCCGGTCAGAACCCGAGGTCCCGGCTGGTGCCACGGCCACTGTAGCATATGGCCTGGGAACAGCCTTTCTGTGCTTTTGATCGAGGAAGGAGGGCAAGCTGTTGGCATCGTGGCAGGCTGCTGAGCTGCCTCGGAAGCATCTCACGCCATAGCAAGAGCAGTTTAGGAGGCAGGAATGGGACTGCGGCCACCTTCGCACACTTGCCTTGAGTGGGATGTGCTCAAAGCAAGCACTTGTGCGACCACATACTGGAACACGAAAGGGGCGGGAGTGGCGGAGGGCCCTGTTGCCATTGGTTTGCTCTGGTGAGATGGACAGTAGCTTGTGCAGAACCTGGACACTGGTGTTTAGAACACAAAGCCTGCTCTAGGCCGAGCTCCATGGAAGGAGGACCATCACTTCACTTTAAACATAGCTTGTGCGTAGAATTCAATCCAAACCTGTCAGGCCAGTCAGCCGCCTGCTCAGATAAGGCTTGACTGTGAAACGTGACTTGGGTGCCCCACCCCCAGCTAATTCATGAGCTTGTTGTTGTGGTTTTTGTTGTTTTTATTGTGTTTTGAGACAGTGTGGCTGTGTAGCCTGGGCTGGCCTCCTCTGCCTTCTGAGTGCTGGCTCACAGCACACCTGACTCAGGCACTTGTTTTATACAAGTTGGAAGATAAAACTTCTTGGAATGGTCAGGATTTCATCATGTCGCTGGAATAATGAAATCACAGGAGTTTTTAAAGTTTATTATAATTATTATTTCTTTTCACAAAGAAGGGACGGGGTTCTATAGAATACTAGTTCATTCAGAGTAGACAGACAAAGCCTCAGAGCGATTAGAGACAGGCGCGTTGACTCACAGCATGTCGCTGTTCACGTTGCTAAGCGACCGTAAGCTGCCGGAACGGAAGCTCTTTCTGCGCATGCTCCGAAGGTAGTTGCGGTACCACATGACGCTGAGGACGCGCGCCTGGAATTGTTTGGACACGATGTAGTAGAGGATGACGTCGAGACAGGAGCTGAGGCTCATGAGCAGCGTGGCGAAGGCCGCCCAGGGGCTGTAGCTGTCCTCCTGGCGCAGCGTCAGCAAGGCCAGGCACACGTGGAAGGGCACGAAGCACACGAGCACCTGCAGCAGGAGCGTGGCGATGATGCGGATGGACTTCTCCCTGACCTTGGGCTTCAGCGAGGACGCCTGCCCTCGCAGGAGGCTGTGGATGACGCTGGCGCAGCTCCCGGCGATGATGAGCAGGGGCACCAGGAAGAAGAGCAGGAGCCGGGTGAGGCCGAGCGCCGTCAGGGCCCTCAGGTGGACGATGTCGCAGAGCTTTTGGCAGGTGGCGGGCGAGGCGTCCTTGTCGGGGTCTGCGGAGCGCAGCAGCAGAGGGACGGTGGTCACCAGGGCCATCCCCCACACCCCCGCGCTCGCCAGCACGGCCTTGCGGGTGTTCTTGAGTTCCTTGGCGTGTTTCGGCTGCACCACGGCCATGTAGCGGTCAGCGCTGAGGAGGGCCAGGAGCCACAGCGCCAGGCTCGGGTAGAGCAGCACCAGGGCCCCGAGGGCATGGCA